TCTTTAAATCTTTCAAAGACCTACAGATCATGACATTTCAAAGATTTTAAGAATTAGTAGCCTCAAAAATAAATACTAGGAGTAAATATAACTATGCAGGTGAAAGATTACAATAAAGACACTGATGAAATAAATTTTAGATGACACTAGAAGATGGATAGCTCTCCTATGTTCATAGATAGACAAAACATTGAAAATGACAATTGTTGAAAAAAATTTAAAGAGTCAATGCAATCTCTATCAAAATATCAATATTCTTCACAGAACTAAAATTAACAACTGGGCTACAGAGATGGTTCAGCAGTTAAGCAAACATGGTATTCTTGCAAAAGGCCAGAGTTCAGTCACTCATATCAAGTAGCTCGCAGCTGTAACTCCAGCTCCAAGGGATTCAATATCCTCTTCTGGACTCAGTGGGCATCGGCACTCACATTTGCACAATCCTGCACATATATCCACATCATTTTCTTAAATCCCTAAATTCACATGAAAGCACAAAAGACCTTAAGCACTTACAGCAACTCTAAGTAGAAAGAACAAGGCTGAAGTATCACAATATCTGACTTCAATTACACCACAGAGCCATACTATATTGTATACACCAACTATATTGTATTGCCACAGAAACACACATGCAAGCCACTGGGATAGAATAGAGGATCCAGACAGGTATAGCCACCTAATTTTCTTTTTCTTTTTAATGTGTGAAATAACCTTATTCATAATTATTCTCTAGGATAACAAATTTTAATGTTTAGAACAGTATGCTCTTAAATCTTTGTCAACTTTGTTACTATCCTATTGCTGAGATGAAACACCACAACCAAGGCAGCTTTTAAAAGCAAGTATTTAAACGGAGACTTCTTCAGTTTCAAAGGGTCAGTTCAGAAACAACATGGCAGGAAGCATGACAGGGGCTTCTGAAAGCCCACCCTTGGTAACAAGACCACACCTCCTAATCAGTCCCCTAATTTCAACAACGGTGTCAAAAACACATACTGGTGCTGGGGAAACTGAATAGTAGAGCCATGACTCCACTCTTGCGTGCAGCAACAGTCCAGAGTGGATCAAAGACCTGAAAATTTGAAAATGCTAGAGGAAAACATAATAAATATATTTAAAATATATGCACAAAGGACGACTTTCTGAAAAGATCTATTTCCCCTCTGTATGCTGTGAATACCACTGGTTAATAAAGAACTGCTTTGAGCCTATGGCAGGGCAGAACAGAACTAGGTGGAGAAAGCTAGGCTAAGTGCTGGGTGAAAGAGGACGGAGTAAGGAGAAGTCATAGAGCCCCGCCAGAGACAGACCCTGGAACTTTACCCAGTAAGCCACAGCCTTGTAGCGATATACAGATTAATGAAGATGGGTTAATTTAAGGTAAGGGTTAGCCAGAAATACGCTTAAGTGATTGGTCAAACAGTATTGCAAATAACATGGTTTCTGTGTGATCATTTCGGTTCTGGGCAGCTGGAAACCAATAAGCAGCCTCCTACTACAATCTATATCACAGGAAATAACCCAAAATCTTGACAAAGAGAGAAGAGAAGCCTCTGAACAGCGAAGACAACAAAGTGAAGGGACAGTATAGAAGGGGAAAATCCCTTTGCCAGCTATCCATCAGATAGACATTAATATCCCACATACATAAAGAACTGGAAAAACAAAACACCAAAAGCCAAATTATCCAATCAGTGACTGGATTAATGAACTGACATGACAGTTCTTAAATAAAAAAATAAAAATGGCCAATATATATTTGAAAGTGTTCCATGTTCTCAGCCAACAAGAAAATGAAAATCAAAATGGCCCTGAGAATCCATCATTATCAGAATGGCATTCACTAAGAGAACAAATACAACAAATGCTAGTGATAACCCTACACACTTACTTATATACTGCTGGTGCAAACATAAACTGAAATAGACACTATAGAAGTACCTGTTGTAGGTTCCTCCAAAAACTAATATTAGAACTACTTGTGATACAGATATATCATTTCTGAGTACACACAGAAGGTTTTTAAATCAACACGCTACACAGATACTTGCATGTCCATATGTATTGCTGTAATAATCATAAGAGTTAAAATATGGAACCAATTCAGATGTCCATCAACAGAAGAATGGACAAATAGGATACATATACAAAAATGAAGTCAGGTCTTGTAAGAAAATGGATGGAACTGCCCAGTTCCATCTATGCTAGGAGAAAGAAGTAAACCTCAAACATCAAATGTGTTCATTCATGTGTGAGATCCAGATTTAAATTTATGTCTGTCTAGGTCATGAAAATAGAAAAAGGACCATGAAAAGAGGGAGAAAGATCTTAATAGGAAAGCGAGATTATATAATACATATGGCACCAAAGCAGGAGGGGCTATTTGGGGAGAAAGGAGTCAACAGGAAAATGGAGAAATATAATTATACACACATGAACACATACATGCATGCACATATAAAACTTAGGATGTCATGGTGGTCCGACAGAGAAATGTAACTTGATACTTGGTCCCTGGGTACTGGCACTGTGTTTAGGGAGATTATGGGGCTTTGAAGGGATAGAGGGAATCTATCTCTGGAGGCTGGTTCTGAGAGTTTATAGTCTTGCCCACCCCTTACAGTTCAGTCTCTTTGCTTCCTGTTTGTTGTTGAGTAGGTGATCTCTCAGCATCCTAATCGGGCCACCTGCTGCCATGCCACTTCTGCCACTGTGGACTCTCCCTCTGCAACTATTAAGTCCAAATAAACTCTTTCCTGCACAGGTCATTTCTGTTCATGGTGCATTAGCACAGCAGCAAAAAGTGATACAAAGTTGGTACCAGGAGACACAGGGTATTGCTGTGAAGAACCTGACTTTTTTTCTTTTTTTGGAAAAATACAGAAGACTGGAACTTGGGCTTTTAAAACAGTAGAATGCTATAAGCAAAGATTCAAGGGCCTCCCTAATATGAGCCCAGAAGACATTACGTGAACTGAGGAGGGCTGGCTGAAAGAGATTTCAGAGAACAAGGCCACTACTAGTAGCTGGGCTAAGAGCATTTCTGTGATATTTTGGCAAAGCTATGTGCCACTACACTCAGCTTGTGTTTCTACTATATCATATCATTTCATCTCTTGTATGACCATATCCTTTGCCTTCATGTTTGTTTTTTTTTTTTTTTGAGAAAAGGTTTCTCTGTGTAGCTTTGGAACCTGTCCTGGAACTAGCTATTGTAGCCCAGGCTGGCCTCAAACTCACAGAGATCCACCTGCCTCTGCTTCCCGAGTCTTGGGATTAAAGGCGTGCGCCACCACAGCCCCGCCCCAAATCCACTTCTTAAAACAACAAATGTATTGGGGAGGAGTCATGTTTAAAGTTCTCCATTAATAATAGCCCTACTATCTGGGGCTTACTGACTAGGAATTATATATTGGCTCAGGTAGGGGCTTCTCATTTGGGGCACCATCAACCTTTTTCTAAACTGAAGAATTTTTGTGTGATATATCCTAGGAAATTTAGCTAGCAGCGGCTCTTGAAACCACCAATCAGATGCCATTGGCTTACCACGGGAGCAATCAAAAGAAATTACATATTCATAAATGTTCCCGGGGACTAAAATTCTATCTCCACTCCACTGAGGACCACACAAATCCTTCCAACGAGTTAATGGGGTTGATAAAAATTAAATACATTTTCAGCTGTGGAAGCAGACGTAAGGAAACAACAGTATAAATTGTGACTGACAAAGCCTGAGTTGTATTCAATTCAAATATTAAAATTCTCTTCCACCATGGAGCAAGGTTAATAAACGATAATCTAGACGTAAAAAAAGGAAAAAAAAAGATGTATGTTTGAAAGAAGCAAGAGCTGGCACTGATGGAATCTATGGGTATGAAGACATATAGTTCAGATTTACCAGCTGGCCAGATCAAGCCATCCATCCTTCAGCCTGCCAAAGGGATCAAGCAAGCCATTCTTTCTCACAGTCCATGTGCTTTTTTACTGGCCGTTTTCTCTGACTCTGTCTAGGGTCAGCAGTTGCTTTCAGTCCTAACTTGCTTTTATTTATTGAATCGGCAAATCTACGCTGAACCTCCAACACCTAAAGGCAAGCCATCTTATTGGCTGGCACTCACTTCTTTTCTCCCTGTTAAGCCTGGGACTGTAAACTGCAGCCCACATTCTCGGGCACACACTACCTACGGAAAAAAAAAAAAAAAAAAAAAAAAAAAAAAAAAGAGAACACGGGGGTAAAAAAAAAGACGTCACCATACTTTTCCTCTTCCTGACCCACACTACAAAAGAACAATTTTAAAAAAAAAAAAAAAAAAAAAAAAAAAAAAATGAACCGAATCGAAAGCACAAACGGAAACGAAAGGAAACACGAAGGCATGAGAATATTCAAAACTCCATTTCTAATACCAAACTACTTTCTCCTCGTACTTTCACGAGCCCAAGGGCATCCCTTGCCTCTTGTGACTGATCCCAATCTCGGCAGTTAGGACCACGCTTCTCATTCTCAACAGCACAGAAGGGCGTGGGGGCCAGGTGCCATCGGAACACCAGGCAAAAGCCACCCTCCAGACGAGGATAGGAAAAGGGAAGGCCTTTAAAAATGGACCGTGGCTCCCGACACAATCACACTGGGTGGCGGACGGGAGACCGGGGACTCCCTCGGGCGAGCCTGCTGTTGGGAGCGCTGCTCGCTGCATCGGCTGCAGAGGAGGACGGAGGCTGCCGCGCCGAGACTCCAACCCGCTCTTCGCAGGCCGACTGAGGCCGCCCAGGCCGCCCAGCCCCGGGCTCCGAGAGGCGCCAGTGGGGCCCAGCGATCCGCGTCCCCCCGCGTCCCCCAGGACCGGCCTCCCGCCGCCGAGCAGCTCGCAGGTCAGCCTTCCCTCGCATCCCGGCGCCTCACGCCCCGTGCCCGTCCCCGTCCCCGCCCAGCACCGGGCCTCGCTCGCCTCCCGCGGCCATCGGGTCCTCAACCCCGTCTCCTTAGCCGTACCCATTACCTTCCCCAAGCAAATGTGGCACGTGATGGGCAGAGTGAGGGACAATGTAACGTTCTGCACGGTCTGAGCCATGGCAGCGTTCAGAATCCCGCCAACACGGAAGTCCCGCCGACAGCAGCTCTTCGCCACGCTGGGAACGCGCGAGGCCGGCTACGGCGGCCTGGCAGGGCCATAGCAAGCCGGGCGAGGGGACGGAAACGCGCTTCTGAGACGCGCAGTCGCCCCGTCTTTTTTTTTCCTTTCCTTACTGAATAATAAGTATTATTAAGAACAGATTAAAAATAGGTGCCTGGGTCAGGAGCTTTAAAAAAAAATGCTGGGAATGGGAAGGAAGACGGTTTACTAGAGGTTTCGAGGCTTTTGAAAATTTAAAGGAAAGTGTAATTAATTTGTGTAGGAAATAGAGAAAGCTATGGTGTTTCAGTCCCCACAACTTTCCTCCAACAGTCGAATAGGGGTGGGGAGTTAAGCTACACGTCTTGATAAAATGGAGCCCTCAAAACATACCGAGAAAAGATGTAACCTATTCATTTAATACTTTCAAAACAACCGTTCTCTCTCAGTTCCGTCCTTATTCTTATGCATGCTTCCAGAAGGCCCAGATAATTGACTTAAAAGCAATGGTTATCTTTTTCCAGAACTACCCAAGTAAATCAATCTCAGTTCTCCTTGAAAACAAACTTTCACTAGCCCTTCTGTGCTGCCTTGTCAGGAAGTTTACAGATTCTAGCCAGGGCTCTGATTCTAAGTGAGGAAACTTCATACAGTCCAAGGCGGACATTCGCACAAGGCATTTTAATGACTTCATTTTAGGAACGAGTAGGATATGAAAGGTACCGCCTGTGCGGTTGAACTCCACGAGATAATTTGCCAGGTTACAAATTAGCATTCCCAACAACGACAAAGAAAAGAAAATCAAAATGTTCCCAAGTGAATCTTACTTCTGAGATTTGGGATTTAACTGAAACTTGGTGTAAATGAGAAAGAGCCAATGTGACAAATGATGGAAACAAATGTTCTGTGTGAGACTGGAAATTTAGAAACAAGTGAAATGCCTTTTGCTGATCTTTTTGCAAAAGAGACTGAAGAAGACATCCCTGCCTTGGACAACTTCCTAGGTCATGGCCTCGGGCAGCCTGTTAAACATTGACACCTTAGTGCCTTTCTCTGAGTGTGTTCTGTGAAATGAAGGTGGAGGCCAATCATCATGGCTCGAAAAATAACCAGGCAACCATGCGTCTGGAAAAGTTGGCAAATGACCTGGAGAAGCCCAAGTCCAATTCAAAACTTGCTTGCTCTTGGCAGTGAGTATGTCCCAATCAGCTCAGTATCTTTGTTTCCTAAGAATTAGAGGCTATCGTCTGCTTGGAATTGGAGAACTGGGCAAACAAGCCATTCTAACTTCCTGCATAGTGGGCACTTCTTCAGAAAGCCTAGCATGAGAATAATCTGCTTCTAAAACCTTGTGGTTATTTGAAAGCAAACTCATATTTATTCCAAGTCTAGAATTCCCAAGCCTAGAAAAATGTATGTTTCTTGTCTGAAGCCCGGGATTAGGATGAGAAAGTCTCATGTTTCAGGGTCTCCTTCTACAACCTCTGAGTGGGACAGAGGAGTGAGGATGACCTGCCAGTGACGTCTATCCCTGAGAATACTACAGCAAGGGACAGCTATGTAAAAGGCACTTTCATTCCAAAAGAGTTCCACTTCATATCTGGCTAGTGCAGGCCTTATAGATCATTTTGATCAGTGGTTCTCAACCTTCCTAATGCTGTGACCCTTTAATACCTCATGTTATGGTGTCCCCCATCCATAAAGATTTGTTGCTACTTTATAACTGTAATTTTACTACTGTTATGAATTGTAATATAAATATCTGTGTTTTCTGATGACCTTAGGTGACCCCTGTGGAAGGGTCATTTGAGCTCAAAGGGCTCGAGATTGACAAGTTAAAGACCGCTGATTTTCATGGTTCATGTCGATACCTAGTCTCAAAGATAAATTGTACAAATAAAGGCTGTTTCAATTAGAATAACAAGATCTCTTCCTATTTTGTTATTATTGTCACAGCTTTCTAAGGTTGTCTCCATATAGCTGTGCCTGTACTGGCTTAATTTCTATTGTAGTAGATTAAATGTTTACTGACTTAACAAATTATAAGGTTTTGTTTGTTATTTTTTCCTTTGATTTGTTTGGTTTAGAGAACATCTTACTATACAACCTTAACTGACTTTCACTCAGTACATTAACTGTACTTCACGCAGTACACTAGACTAGCCTGAAACTCATAGAGATGCCCCTGCTTCCACTTCCTAAGTGCTAAAACCAAAGGCATGCACAAACATGTCCAGTCTCAAACAATGTTTCTTGAGTTTACAACAGTATTTAATCCTTCAAGTGTATGGTACTGGATGATTAGTCTACAATAATAATGTATCTTTTACCAATAAGCAGCTTTTTTCTAAGTCCAAGCCATTTTATTTTAAGCAATGTCTTTTGGGGTACTTGTAAAAAGAAAACTATACACGCACACACACACACACACACACGAATATATATTCAGAATTATAAAAATACTAAGGTTCATTTTAAGAAAATTAAACAATTTAAAATGCACACTATAGTAAGTGAAAGTTCACCTACATTTTCAATGCACCTCTCTGTTACTCTTAACACTCTAGGTCATGCCCTCACAAGCATTTTAATGTGTATGTTACTGTATGAATAAGTACAGATTGCCTAATGATGTTCACTTAATGCTTTGTACCGAGCATGCATACCTACACACGTATGCACAAATCCACATCCAGATAATATCACTATGGATAGGGGTTGGCTAGGACTCTCTAGTTCCATAAGGGTTCCAGGCCATTCTTGGACTTTTCTTTAGATAAGGCAGCAGCTTCGGGGAAAGAACTCTTTTCTCTCTACTCCACGAAGAGCATTTCCCATTTTTTAAAAATTATGTTTCAAATAGGTTGGCACAGATTGCTAAAAGATGCTGTTGTTACTCTCCAAAGACAAGATTCCATGGCTCAATGAATTTTCAATTTCACCTTCCTTCTCTATTTTTAATTAAGATAGGTTTTTATGGTTCAATATATTCTTTTTTTTTTCCAGACAGAGGAATTTAATGCAGAACCAATTTCAGTGTTGCATTATAAGAATAGAGAGGAGCAGTCTAAGGTTTTCAGACAACCAACCTTAATATATCAATAATCTTACAGGAATTGTCAATGGAAAAGACTCAGTTATAGCTAACTGAACTGTGTGGTTCAATATATTCTTTTAAAAAAAATGTGTGTGTGAGATCAGAAAACAAATCTCGGAGGTCTTTTTCTCTCTTTCCTCTTCCACTTGGGTTCTGGGGATGCAATGGGCATCATGATGCCTGATGCCAAGCGCTTCGCTGCTGAGTCATCTCGCTGACATACACAATATAGCCTTAGGACCTTACAAGGGATCCTGTGACCTGAGCAGTTCAGCGACAAATGGTACTTGGAATAAATAAATCCTTAAAATTACAAGCCCGTAGAAGCGGAAAGGCTCTTAGAGGTTGTTATGGAGGCCTAGTCTCTCACAGATGAAGAAATTGAGGCTTGGCTATGGGAACACAACAGATAATGGGAGAATTAGAGCTAACTTTTAGCTCACACTTGAGGACTCTCGGAGGTTGTTGGCTCAATGCCTTTGTGCAAGTGCAAGATGTATTATTATTAATAAAGTAGTTCAGTAATAAAAAGTCAGTCATAATTGAATTTCTTTGCTATGAAAACCATCAAATAGCCCTGGAACACCTTTTACCCCTTGTTTAAATCAGACTCGTTTTAATGATAAATAATTTAAAAGCAAGTTTAAAAAAATAAAATCTTAAGTGCTATTAAAAATTGATTAGAAATGCATTATTCTCTCATTGCCCCAGTTTAGATTGTTTTTAATTTTTTTTTTGTTAAACCTAATAAATTTGAGTAGATGTTTCAGGTGGTTTGTAATCATTGGATCATCAGTCAATTAATCAGAACTTCATAAATATTGATTTCAGATTAAATTTAGTTTCCATTTCTGAAAAACCATTTTTGGTCTGTTTTAAATTTATACACCCCACCTGGATTGTGCTTAAAACTAAGAAAACTCATAAAAAATATATTAAAAATTAACCAGAGGTACTGGTCCAGTTGCATGGGCATTATCTAAGGTAACGTCCTCATGTAGGTATTATGAGCTAAAATATCCCAAGTTGAAGGCAGAAAAAAATGTTTCTTACTGCAGCAGAGGAATGGGGTGTTCTTCTACAGTATATTTGTGTTTTACTTATGAATACATTGATATATGTTGTCCACTTTCATTGCAAATCTTCATTCATGCCTTCGTTCATTTGGTGAATGTTTATTAGAAGTATGAAGGAAAGCTCGTTCCAATAAAATTCATGGACATTACACTCAGTTGCAAAAGTTATCTGCATTGGCTTGGAGCAATATAAAGCCTGACTTCTTGGGTAACAATATAAAGTGTTCATCAAGTTCAGATGTAGACACGGCAATAATGGTTGCAGAATAAATAAGTGAAAGTAGTATTCATTTGTTCATTCCACCAATATTTAAATATTGTTATTGCTTAGGCGCTTGTCTGAGGCTGGGTGTAAAACTGTGAATTGAACAAACAACATCCCTGGCTTCATTTAGTCACCGAACAAATATTTATTGGTTATCAATAACGTCCCAGTCAATGTACTAGAAATGAAGCATCTGTGAATATGACAACTGAGTTCAGCATGTGGATTCCATCCTAAAGTAGCTACAGCTTCAGTAGTTTCTCTTCTGGATACTCATATTGTCGTTTGCCCCCAGCCATTGTGACATAGCAGGCTATAATATTAAATATTTTAAAATGTTGCAAATTGGGTGATTGTTTTAAATTATGTCATTTTAAGAGAATATTTTATTTCCACCTAAGGCTAAATGTTGCTTCACAAGTGTTTGCTGAATGGTAGGAGATAAATGAAGGAAATATCACATCTGGGAATATTGTAGCAAGAATCGCCAAGGTTGAGGAGGTTGCAGGATTTTCTAGAATATTATGAGGAACAGGAAACCACTGCTATCAACAGTAAGTTAAACATGTGCGCATGCTTACTTCCTTCTTGCCTTCACTTTGTGTGTGAACAGAAGTTCCAAGGTGATTCTCCCCATAGGAACCTCAAAGCCAAGCTACTATAGATAATGTTAATGTTTTTATACTGTTTCCTGAGAGTCCACAGATAATTAATTGCCTTCTCTTTGAGAACAGTTCTCCCAAAGAAGTGTCATGCACTTGACCATGGGATCCTCAGCAGCTCGCTGGAGTCTCGTAATGTTGATTTTCCTAGAAACGGAGTTCCATTTCCTAGAACCGTGTGCGCAGTGCAGTCACTGATTCTTCAGCAAGCTAGAACTGTCACCTAAGTAGGACCCCCTATCTCCAGTTCAGGATCCTCAACTGTTGATGGGCAGCCTTACGTCCTCCCTTCCACCCCACATCAGTCGGTCTACTTGTGTAAACAGTTGGCGCATGTTAAACTGCAATGGAAAGCAGTGGGTGGAGAAGGCAGGACCTGCCTGTGCAAGATCTCCTGACCCCAGTTTTCCCATCTTTATTTTCTCATCCTCTCTTTCAGAAATCTCTCACTAAAGAATGACCTGCTGGTCCTGGTAAGGTTCTCAGTAGGTGGCTGTTTTGAGAGACTTAGGAGGCGTGGCCTTGTCCTAAGAAGAATGTCAGTGGGGATGCCCTTCTGAGGTTTTAAAAGAACCTCACCATTTTAGGTTCTCCTGCTGCTTCCTGCCTGCAGTCAGAGATGCAAGCCCTTAGCTCTCTGCTTCCATGTCTGCCACCTGTACTGTACCCCCACCCAGGTAAACTCTTCCTTCTCTAAATTGCCTTGGTTGTGGTGGTTTATTACAGCAGTACAAATCCTAAGATAACTCATGTCTTAATTACTGTTCTATTGCCATAAGGAGACATTACCAAGCATTTTTTAAAAAATAAAACATTTAATTGCAGACTTGCTTAGAGTTTTAGGATATTAACTTATGACTCTCATGGCTGGAATCGTGGTAGTGGGCAGATTGGCATTGTGCTGGAGGAACCAGATAACATAGACTTTTTAAATCTCAAAGTCCACTGCCAGTGACATAGCTCTTCCAACATGGTCACACCCACTTCAATAAGGATATATTCCTAAATTTTTCCAAATTGTTCCACTAACTGCAGACTAAACATTCAACCATATGGGCCTTTGGGGGCCATTCTCATCCAAACCACCACACCTAATTTGTGTTATGTTGACAAAAACCTAAGCAGCACAACCACCAAATTTTAAAGCCATGGATGGATTAATCTAGTGATTCAACCAGAGGCCTCATGATACAGCGTCTACCTAAAACACCCCATACACATGCATTGCGTTGGAACTGAGTCTTTAACACATGAGCTTTTGAAGGGAAACTTTGTATCCAAACTGTTATTCTTGAGTAACCATTATTTTGAAGCAAAAGAAAGTGAAGAGCATAGCTTTGGATACACATTTGGGGAACAAAGGTGTTTGGTTTGGATGTTAACTCTTTTCTTAGAAGTGTAACTCCTACAGAGCTGCCAAGGTAACAGTGAGGTCCAGAGTGTGTAGTATGTGTTTCTTTCAGCAACTCTGAAGACTAACTGCCCAAGTCCCTATCTTATGTTCAGAAAACTGGGCTTCAGAGGAGTCCCGATATCAGAAAGACATTAAGTGCTCTTAGTGAGCTCTCTGATTGGTGTTTATCTAATAGCCAGCTGTCAAGATGGTATAACATTTGTCTTCAACAACCTTGAATCAGTTGATGGAGGTCTGGAGATATGTAGCTCAATGGTAGAATATTTGACTGGTATTCATAAAACCTGAGTTCAATCCC